CACAAATGAATGGATTAAATAAATATTGTTTATCCATGCAGTGGAATATAATTCAGCTGTAAAAAGGGGCCAGCCACAGTGGCTCACATCAGTAATCCCAGCACTTTGGGAGGCTGAGGCAGGCGGATCACTTGAGGCCAAGAGTTTGAGACCAGCCTGGCCAACATGGTGAAACCCCATCTCTACCACAAATACAAAAATTAGCCGGGTGTGTTGGCACAGCTGTGTAATCCCAGCTACTTGGGAGACTGAGGCACTAGAATCACTTGCATCTGGGAGGCGGAGGCTGCAGTGAGCTGAGATCTTGTTGCTGCACTCCAGCCTGGGCAACAGCCTGTCTCAAAAAATAAAGGGAAATGAGGTACTGACACATTCTACCATGAGGAGGAACCTTGAAAACAACATGCTCAGTAAAAGAAGCCAGCACACAAAAGGCACATATTGTATAATTCCGATTTATTTTATTTTTTGAAAAGCTGGTCTCCTGGGCTCAAGTGATCCTCCCTTCTTCCTCTCCCAAAGTGCTGGGATCACGGGCGTGAGCCACTGCCTCTGGTGACGATTTCTGCATCTAGCCTATGATTCCTTTTCTAAAAAAATATCTGGAAAACAGGAATCCAGAGAAACAGATGGTAGAGAACTGAGTCTTTTTACATTGATCTCTGACACTATCACAAGATGAAATGCGCCTTTTATTTTTCTTTTTTGACACGGAGTTTCCCTCTTGTTACCCAGGCTGGAGTGCAATGGTGCGATCTCGGCTCACCGCAACCTCCACCTTATGGGTTCAAGCAATTCTCCTGCCTCAGCCTCCCGAGTAGCTGGGACTACAGGCACGCGCCACCATGCCCAGCTAATTTTTTGTATTTTTAGTAGAGACGGGGTTTCACCATGTTGACCGGAATGGTCTCTGTCTCTTGACCTCGTGATCCACCCACATTGGCCCCCCAAGGTGCTGGGATTATAGGCGTGAGCCACCGCGCCCGGCTGAAATGTGCCTTAAAATTGTTGCTTGCTGTGTCTTCTTCACCTCTAAAGATGTGCTGTTCATCGCTGGCAGCTATTTGTGGTACAGATTAATGGTGTACCCAAGGAAATGGTGTTTTGTGGTGCGATTATTATTGTTACTATTTATTATTTTACTGTTTTGACATGGAAGGACTATTATTACTGTTTTTGAGATGGAGTCTCGCTCTGTTGCCCAGGCTGGAGTGCAGTAGCGCCATCTCGGCTCACTGCAACCTCTGTCTCCCGGGTTCCAGCAATTCTCTGCCTCAGCCTCCCAAAGTGTTGAGATTACAGGTGTGAGCCACTGTGCCCAGCTAATTTTTTCGTATTTTTAGTAGAGATGGGGTTTCAGCATCTTGGCCAGGCTGGTTTTGAACTCCTAACCTTGTGACCCACCCACCTCAGCCTCCCAAAGTGCTGGGATTACAGGCGTGAGCCACCGCCCCTGGCATATTATTATTTTAGGCCAGTCAAGCAAAGCAGCGGGAGAGGAGAAGGAACAAAGACATTTGTATGGTTGGCTGGGAGCGGTGGCTCACGCCTGTAATCCCAGCACTTTGGGAGTCCAAGGAGGACGGATCACTTGAGGTCAGGAGTTTGAGACCAGCCTGGCCACATGGAGAAACCCCATCTCTATTAAAAATACAAAAATTAGGCTGGGTGCGGTGGCTCAAGCCTGTAATCCCAGCACTTTGGGAGGCCAAGGCGGGTGGATCACGAGGTCAAGAGATCCAGACCATTCTGGTCAACATAGTGAAACCTCGTCTCTACTAAAAATACAAAAATTAGCTGGGCATGGTGGCGCGTGCCTGTAGTCCCAGCTACTCAGGAGGCTGAGGCAGGAGAATTGCCTGAACCCAGGAGACAGAGGTTGCGGTGAGCCGAGATCGCGCCATTGCACTCCAGCCTGGGTAACAAGAGCGAAACTCCATCTAAAAAAAAAAAAAAAAAAAATTAGCTGGGCTTGGTGGCAGGCGCCTGTAATCCCAGCTACTTGGGAGGCTGAGGCAGGAGAATCACTTGAACCCCGTAGGCAGAGGGTGCAGTGAGCCAAGATCATACCATTGCACTCCAGCCTGGGTGACAGAGCAAGACTCCATCCCCCCCCGAAAAAAAACCTTTCTTGCTGATGAATAGTGGCATCAGCTTGTGCACAGCCACTACCCTCCAGCCTGAGCAACACATGAAGATCCTGTCTCTCCACCATCCCAGCATTTTGGGAGGCTGAGACGGGAGGATGGTTGAGCCTAGGATTTTGAGACTAGCTTAGCCAACATGGCAAAATCCGATCTCTACAAAAAGTCCCAGCTACTCAGGAGGCTGAGGTGTGAGGGTCACTTAAGCCCAGGAGGTTAAGGCTGCACTGAGCTATGATTTTGACCTGCACTCCAGCCTGGGAGCTAAGGTAGGAGGATCACTTGAGCCTGGGAGGTCAAGGCTGCAGGCAGCCATGTTGTTTGAGAGATAGCAACACCCTGTTTCAAAAAAAAAGTAGTTAGAAGTTCATTTATGCAAAGGCTAACTACTAACACAAGGAAGGGATGTGTAGGAGTGAGGCTCAAACGGATGAAAGGCAAGAAAAGCTGCGCCTTCCGTGAACCTGAACTCAAAATGTCCTTGTCATAAGAGGCAGGCATGGTGCGAGCCTGGGCATCTGATAGGGGTTGCAGCTTTCTTTTCTTTTTTTTTTTTTTAATTGTTGTTTGTTTGTCTGTCTGTTTTTGGTTTTTGACATGGAATCTCACTCACCCCAGGCTGGAGTGCAGTGGTGTGATCTCGGCTCACCGCAACCTCCGCCTCCCAGGTTCAAGTGATTCTCCAGCCTCAGTCTCCCAAGTAGCTGGGATTACAGGCGCCCACCACACCCGGCTAATTTTTGTATTTTTCAGTAGAGATGGGGTTTCGTCATGTTTGCCAGGCTGGTCTCAAACTGCCCCAGTCTCCCAAAGTGCTGGGATTACAAGTATGAGCCACCTGTAATCCCATCTACTCAGGAGGCAGAGGCAGGAGAATTGCTTAAACCCGAGAGGCGGGCGTTGCAGTGAGCCGAGATCATGCCACTGCACTCCAGCCTGGGCTACAGATGGAGACCCCATCTCAAAATAAATAAATAAATAGAGGGATGATTTCCGAGTGAATTAACTACATCAGAATATGCAGAGCAACCATACATCAGCCACTCAAGGATATGCAGGTTCTCTGAAAGCCGCTTAAGTGTTTAAACCTGGGCTTTATTAGTGACAATCACATTCCCAGTCCCCATTATGGAGCCTGGTCACCTGGGAGCTTGCTAGGTATGGAAATCATCAGGTCCCACACCCCAGACCAAGTGAGTCAGAAACCTTGAGGGCAGAGTCTCTGCTTTCTCTTTTTCTTTTTTTTTTTGAGACAGAGTTTCGCTCTCGTTACCCAGGCTGGAGTGCAATGGCGCGATCTCGGCTCACCTCAACCTCTGCCTCCTGGGTTCAGGCAATTCTCCTGCCTCAGCCTCCCGAGTAGCTGGGATTACAGGCACGCGCCACCGTGAGCAGCTAATTTTTGTATTTTTAGTAGAGACGGGGGTGTCACCATGTTGACCAGGATGGTCTCGATCTCTTGACCTCGTGATCCACCTGCCTCGGCCTCCCAAAGTGCTGGGATTTTAGGCATGAGACACACTGCGCCCGGCACTTACGTCTCTGCTTTTTCAAGCCTCCCAGGTGATTCAAATGAACCTGGAGTACGGAAACCCCCTGATGCAAAACAGCGTCCTGTGATCAGTGTGATCTTCTGTGGCAATGCAGCTTCTGGCCGGGCGTGGTGACTCACACCTGTAATCCCAGCACTTTGGGAGGCCAAGGCAGGTGGATCACTTGAGGTCAGGAGTTCGAGACCAGCCTGGCCAACACAGTGAAACCCCCATCTCTACTAAGAAACACAAACGTTAGCTGGGTGTGGTGGTACACACCTGTGATCCCAGCTACTCGGGAGGCTGAGACACGAGAATCACTTGCACTTGGGAGGCAGAAGCTGCAGCGAGCTGAGATGGCACCATTGCACTCCAGCCTGGGTGACAAGAGTGGGACTCGTCTCAAAAAAAAAAAAAAAAAAAAAGCAGCTTCTGCTCAGGAGGTCTGGAGTGGGCGAGGATTCTGCATTTGAACAAACTCCCAGGAGTGGTAGTGGGGCTGGTATGTGGGCTCACCTTTGAGTCACTGGTCCCGGCTCAATTAGTATTAGATCAATGACAGCCCTGGGAGAGATCCAGGGAGCTCTAGAGGACCAAGGGATCATCCTGGAGGCAGAGAGGGCAGAGAAAGGTGGAGGGGGTGGGAATCGGGTGTGGCTGAGGAGGAAGCTATTTAAGCCTGGATTCCATCTTTGCTGGTTCTTATCCCTGGATCTGAGCCCAGGCGCACATCTAGATTAGAAGATGCCAGGCTCGGACGATCTTCCTAAAGGTAAGCCAGAAAAACTGAGAACCGAAGTCAAGACATGTGAAAAATGGAGAGCAGCTGGCAGCAGCGTTCAGGTGGAGGAAACAGGCAGCCGAAGCAGGCGCTTTGTCCACGTGGGTGGCGGGAGCGTCCCACAGAGGCTGTCATATTTTTTGTTGTTGTTTTTGTTTTTTGAGAGGGCGTCTCACTCTGCAGCCCAGGCTGGAGTGCAGTGGTATGATCTCAGCTCAGTGCAACCTCTGCCTCCTGGGTTCAAGCGATTCCTCTGCCTCAGCCTCCCGAGAAGCTAGGACTACAGGTGCCCACCACCATGCCTGGCTAATCTTTGTGTCTTTATAGAGATGGGGTTTCACCATGTTGGCCAGGCTGGTCTCAAACCCCTGACCTCATGTGATCTGCCCGCCTCGGCCTCCCAAAGTGCTGGGATTACAGGCGTGAGCACCGTGCCCGGCCCTGTCAACCAGCACTGGCAAACGCAGGGAAGCCCTTTTCTGCCCAAGAATTCCAAGCCTTCTGGCTGGTTGTTGTGTCTTAATTCCTCCCACCCCGATGCTTGTTCTAATGTAGAATGTAAACCTATATTCTCTCTAGGGCCGAATCATCCTCACAGGAATCAGATTCACCAGAGCAGATTCCCCAGGGGAATCTGATTCCTGTGGGGATGGTTCTGTCCTAGGGAGATATAGGCTTAGCCAAGCTGGAAATCTCATGTGCGTATTTACCAGATTCTGGGGTTGCTGGCAAACCATTTTCAGGCATGATCTGATTCAAATCTTTTAGACCCAGGCACACGGTGGCTCATGCCTGTCATCCCAGCACTTTGGGAGGCCAAGGCGGGCAGGCAGATGGCTTGAGCCCAGGAGTTCAAGACCAGCCTGGGCAACAAAGCAAGACAGCATCTCTACAAAAAAATACACAAATTAGCCGGGCAGTGCCCTGTAGTTCAGCTGTTCAGGAGGCTGATGGGAGAGGATCGCTTGGGTCTGGGGAGTTGAGGCTGCAGTGAGTTGCGATTGTACCGCTGGGCGACAGAGCAGTAACCTGTCTCTAGAGAAAGAAAGGAAAAGGTGATATCCATTAGAGCAGTGATGTTATTTTCCTGTTTATTTCCTTGCTATATTCCTAAAAGAATATACTTAATAAACACTGAATAAATGAGAAGCATAAAACCATGTCCATTTCATCTTGGATTGAGTTGCCTGCTTTCTACACAAAGAAAATAGATCCCAAGAGGTAAGGCACAAGGGATCCCTTTTATTTATTTATTTATTTATTATTATTTTTTTAAAAAGATGGGGTTTCACCGGGCATGGTGGCTCACACCTGTAATCCAAGCACTTTGGAGGCCAAGGCGGGCGGATTACCTGAGGTCAGGAGTTCGAGACCAGCCTGACCAACATGGTGAAACACCATCTTAAAAAAAAAAAAAAAACTTAAAAGATGGGACTTCACCATGATGGCCAGGCTGGTCTTGAACTCCCGACCTCAGGTGATCCACACACCTCGGCCTCCCAAAGTGCTAGGATTACAGGTGTGAGCCACTGCACCCAGCCTATTTATTTTTTGAGACAGGGTTTCCCGCTGTCAAAGCCTAGAGTGCAGTGGCGTGATAGCTCACTGTAGCCCTGCCTCCGGGGTTCAAGTGATTCTCTTGCCTCAGCCTCCCGAGTAGCTGGGATTGCAGGTATGCACCACTGTGCCCAGCTAATTTTTGTCTTTTTAGTAGAGACGGGGTTTCACCATGCTGGCCAGGCTGGTCTTGAGCTCATGACCTCATGCGATCTGTCCGCCCTGGCCTCCCAAAGTCCTGGGATTACAGGCAGGAGCCACCACACCGGGATCCCACATTTAAATAACAGACAAAAAGAAGGGAGGAAGCAAGGCGGAAAGAAACAGCCCTTTCCTTTGGTGTTCTACTTGTGACAGAATGAGGCTTGGGGAACCAAGGACAAAAGGCAGATAAGCAGTTGGCTAGTATTTATTTTTTATTTTATTTTTTGTACTGAAGGAAAGTCTCACTACGTTGCCCAGGCCGGCCTCAAACTCCTGGGATCAAGTTGCCCTCCTCCTTCAGCCTCCCACAGTGCTAGGACTACAGTGTAAGGCACCACCCTGGCCAGCAGTGTCTCAAATCTAAGAACCTCAGTGATGGCCGGGCACGGTGGCCCACGCCTGTAATCCCAGTACTTTAGGAGGCTAAGGCAGATGGATCACTGGAGGCTGGGAGTTCGAGACCAGCCTGGCTAACATGGTGAAACCCCATCTCTTCTGATTGTGGTTTTAAGTAAAATTAAAAAAAAAAAAAAAAAAAACAGGGCTGAGCGTGGTGGCTCATGCCTGTAATCCTAGCACTTTGGGAGGCCGAGGTGGGTGGATCACCTGAGGTCAAGAGTTCAAGACCAGCCTGGCCATCATGGTGAAACCCCATCTTGTTTAAAAAAAAAAAAAAAAAAAAAATCCATCTCTAGTAAAATTAGAAAAATTAGCCGGGCATGGTGGCTACTAGGGAGGCTGCGGAAGGAGAATCGTTTAAACTCAGGAGGTGTGGAGGTCGCAGTCAGCTGAGACTGTGCCACTGCACTCCAGCCTGGGTGACAGAGCGAGACTCCATCTCCAAAAAAAAAAAGAACCTCATATATAGATAAAACTTAAAGGACTAAGGCCGGGCGCAGTGGCTCAAGCCTGTAATCCCAGCACTTTGGGAGGCCCAGGCGGGTGGATCACGAGGTCAACAGATCGAGACCATCCTGGTCAACATGGTGAAACCCCGTCTCTACTAAAAATACAAAAAATTAGCTGGGCATGGTGGCGCGTGCCTGTAATCCCAGCTATTCGGGAGGCTGAGGCGGGAGAATTGCCTGAACCCAGGAGGCGGAGGTTGCGGTGAGCCGAGATCGCGCCATTGCACTCCAGCCTGGGTAACAAGAGTGAAACTCCGTCTCAAAAAAAAAAAAAACTTAAAGGACTAATGACAAAAACAGAAAATAAACCAAAAAAAACCCTCAGTCACTTGATCACCACGGGGTACCCTCACCGGAGAGGAAAGGAAAGTTGAAAATTCGGGCTTTGGGGAATGGAGTTGCTAGCCTTTCCCATTTGTGTCTTCTCTCCCTCTTTCAAGGCAAGGACCAGTTGCACTCACACAGGAAGCGAACCATGTTCACTGAGCAGCAGCTGAAAGATCTGAACGTCCTATTCGATGAGAACCCATACCCAAACTCCAGCCAGCAGAAAGAAATGGCCTCGAAACTAAACGTGCCCCCCACAGTACTGCAGGTTGGAAAATGATACCTCTTACCGAACCGCCTTCCCGATCTAACCTATCAGAGAGCCTCTGGGATCATCCCCTTCGCTGGCATTCCCCAAACCCACACTCCTGTACCCACGTCCGTACGAGAGAGAGTACGGACCTTTCTCCAAATCCCCAGAGCAAGAATGGGAATGTTTTTCTGGTAAAGGACCGGGTAGTAAATAGCTGAGGCTTTCCGGGGCATACTGTCTCCAGGAACTGTTTATGCCACCACAGTGCCAAGGCAGCGGCAGACAATGAAAACAAAAGAGGCCTGTCTGTTGCCACAAGCTCTTCACTCAGGCTGGAGTACAGTGATGCCATCACAGTCACTCCCACTGCAGCCTCCACCTCCTGCCTGGGCCAAGGGATCCTCCCGCCTCAGCCCCCCAAGTAGCTGGGACTACAGGTATGTACCACCACGCCTGGCTCCCTTTTTTTTTTTTTTTTGCATTTTAGGTTTTGGGGTACATGTGCAGAACATGCAACACGTGGCAGTGTGTTTTGCTGCCTTCCTCCCCTTCACCCACGTTTGGCATTCCTCCCCATGTGATGAAGATGAGAACACTTGGACGCAGGGAAAGGAGCACTACACACTGGGGTCTACTGGCTGCTTTTTTTTTTTTTGTAGAGAGGGGGTTTCGCCATGCTGCCCAGAAGGCTGATCTTGAACTCCTGGTCTCACGTGATCCACCTGCCTCAGTCTCCCAAAGTGTCAGGATTACAGGCGTGAGCCACTGTGCCTGGCCTGAAGTTTATACGATTTTTCACATTACAAAACACGGTCTCGACTTACCACAACCTCCCCCTCCTGGGCTCAAGCCATCCATCCTCCCACCTCAAGCCTCCTGAGTAGCTGGTACTGCAGGTGTGCACCACCAGGCCCAGCTAGTTTTTGTATGTGTGGTTTTTTTTGTTTTGTTTTTGTAGAGATGTGGTTTTGTCATGTTGCCCAGGCTGGACTCAGACTCCTGAAATCAAGCGATCCGCCCACCTCAGCCTCCCAAAGTCCTGAGATTACAGGCATGAGCCACTGTGCCTGGCCAACAGTATTCTTTTATTTTCTCTCTCTTTTTTTATTTTAGTCCCAACACACATACAACACAAAATAGTACTCTTACCGTGTTTGTTTCTTCTCAACCATTTTTAAAACGTAAAGCCTATTCCTAGCGCATGGGTGATGCAAAGCTAGGGGGTGGGTCCGATTTGGCCAGGAGCCTTAGCTGGCTGACCCAAGCCGCAGAGCTGCCCCTGCAACTGATCTCCTTGCTCCCCCATCCCCTGTCTCAATTTCTGCCCCTAAAATCTCTCATTTCTGCTCCTTCCTGAAAGTAGACTGCACAGAGAGGATATAAATAGCCAAGCTGTGGCACTAGCTCTTGTCACCTGGAAGTACTCATATTATCAGCTAAAAGGAAAACTTGGGCTGGGGATGGTGGCTCATGCCTATAATCCCAGCACTTAAGGAGGCCAGGAGTTTCAGACCAGCCAGGGCAACACACTGAGAACCCACCTCTACAAAAAATCTAAAAAATTCTCCCAGCACGGTGGTATGTAGCTGCAATCTCAGCTACTCTGGAGGCTGAGGTGGGAGGATCGCTGGAGCACCACAGGTTGAGGATGGAGTGAGCTCTGGTCACGTCACTGTACTTCGAGCCTGGGTGACACAGCAAGACCCTGTCTCCAAAATAAAAAAATTGTAAAAGGCCGGGTGTAATGGGTTACATTTGTAACCCCAGCACTTTGAGAGGCTGAGGCAAGAGGACTGCTTGGGCCCACGAGTTCAAAACCAGCCTGGGTAACATAGCAAGACCCTGTCTTTGGCTGGGCGCAGTGGCTCATGCCTGTAATCCCAGCCCTTTGGGAGGCCGAGGCGGGTGGATTACCTGAGGTCAGGAGTTCGAGACCAGTCTGACCAACATGGTGAAACCCTGTCTCAAAAAAAAAAGACCCTGTCATTATGTATCTATGTCTCTATGTATGTATGTATTTATCTATCTTTTTTTTGAGACCTTGTTTCGCTCTTGTCACCAAGGCTGGAGTGCAGTGGTGTGATCTCAGCTCACTGCAACCTCCACCTCCCAGCTTCAAGTGATTCTCCTTCCTCTGCCTCCTAAATACCTGGAATTACAGGTGCCCACCACCACGCCCAGCTAATTTTGTATTTTTAATAGAAATGGCATTTCACCAGGTTGGCCAGGCTGATCTCAAACTCTTGACCTCAGGTGATCTGCCAACCTTGGCCTCCCAAAGTGCTGGGATTTCAGGTAAGAGCCACCATGCCGAGCCTATCCATGTATCTATCTGTCTATCTATCTATCCATCCATCCATCCATTCATCTATCTATCTGAGATAGAGCCTCACTCTGTCACAGAGGCTGAAGTGTAATAGCACAATCTGGCTCACTGCAACATCTGTCTCCCCAGCTCAAGCAATTCTCTCTCTCTCTTTTTTAATATAATTTTTTTTTTTTTTTGCCGGGCGCAGTGGCTCAAGCCTGTAATCCCAGCACTTTGGGAGGCCGAGGCAGGTGTATCACGAGGTGAAGAGATCGAGACCATTCTGGTCAACATGGTGAAACCCCGTCTCTACTAAAAATATTTAAAAAAAAAATTAGCTGGGCATGGTGGCGCGCGCCTGTAATCCCAGCTACTCAGGAGGCTGAGGCAGGAGAATTGCCTGAAACCAGGAGGCGGAGGTTGTGGTGAGCCGAGATCGCGCCATTGCACTCCAGCCTGGGCAACAAGAGCGAAACTCCGTCTCAAAAAAAAAAAAAAAAAGTACAGGCACACACCATGGTGGTGTCTAATATGCGTATTTTTAGTAGAGACAGGGTTTCACCATGTTGGCCAGGCTGATCTCGAAGTCCTGGCCTCAAGCAGTCCACCCACCTGAGCCTCCCAAACTGCACGGATTATAAGCATGTGCCACCACACCCAGCCCATCTCTATTTTATTTTTATTTATTTTAAAAAAATAAATTAATATTTGGATAGGAGAGTTTAAGGGAAAAAAAAGAGAGAAAAGGTAAAAAATTTAATGGTTAAAAAAATGAACATAAATAAGTTTAACAAAACAAAAATTAAAAAGTAAAGGTTTTTAAAAAAATAGAATGACAAGTTGGTTGGGCACGGTGGCTCAGGCCTGTCATCCCAGCACTCTGGGAGGCTGAGATGGGTGGATCACCTGAGGTCAGGAGTTCGACACCAGCCTGGCCAACATGGTGACACCCCATCTCTAATATAAAAAAAAAGAAAAATAACGACTAGTCATCTGAATTCTACCCCATTTCCGAGCCCCTAGCTCTTCTCTCTCTTCCCTTCAGGTCTGGTTCAAGAACCGCAGAGCAAAGCTCAGGAAAGACAAATGCAGGCGCCCTCAGCAAAAGGAAGAGAGTCCACAGCCGCCGGGCCCGGAGGGTGGGGTCAGCACCAGCGTCAGCCGGAGACCTGCAGACGCGCCACCCAGATTGCCCAGCGCCGCTCGCCCGGTCGGCCTGGTGTACACGGGTCATCGGGTACCCTCGTTCCAGCTCATCGCATACCCCAACCTCAAGGTCCCCGCACATGAGTTCCTTGGCCACAGAATGGTCCATTTTGGCTGCTGCCAAGATCCTAACGTATACCTCCTCTACCCCATTGTGTAACCCCAAGCTTCCGCTCCATGCTTCAGTTCTGCTGCTTCTGCCTGCTCATCTCTACAAAGTCAAGAGAGATGATGAATACAGAAAGTCACATGTTGTAATGGTGTGTCTGTAATATTGTGACATTTGTATTTGGTCCTCAGGCCGGATTCCTGGAAAGCAATTCCACAGTTCCAGGGAGTCTCCCAAGGGCTGTCTTTTCATATGCTAATGCTGACTGATAGCTTCGGGAAGCCGGGCTGGTCTCGGGAAGACCCCAGCAGGATCAGAGGGCTAACTTCTGGGAGGGGAAGGAAGCTGAAGGTGAGGTTGATCACCATTGACTGATGGTTTCATCAGTCATGTCTGTGTAAGGAAGCACCAAGAGAAATGCTTGAACCTGGGAGGCAGAGGTTGCAGTAAACCCAGGAGATCATGCCACTGTACTCCAGCCTGGGCAACAGAGACTCTGTCTCAAAAAAAAGCAGCCAGGTCTGTCATCCCAGCACTTTGGGAGGCCGAGGTTGGGAGTCTGAGACCAATCTGACCAATCCTAGCACTTTGGGAGGCCTGAGGTCAGGAGTTCGAGACTAGCCTGACTAACATGGAGAAATCCAGTCTCTACTAAGAATACAAAATAAGCCGGGCATGGTGATGCGTGCCTGTAATCCCAGCTACTGGGGAGGCTGAGGCAGGAGAATTGCTTGAACCTGGGAGGTGGAGGTTGCAGTGAGCTGAGATCGCGCCATTACGCTCCAGCCTGGGCAATGAGCAAAAACTCCATATTATATAAATAAGTAAAATAAAGCACAGGGGACCAACTGGAATATTGGAAGGCATATTCTGTGAGAATGATGACCCCAAAATTCCCCAGTATCAGAAAGTGTCCTGAAAACTCAAACTGCCTGGACATAGTTCAGGTCCCCCCTAGCCTTTTAAATGAACTCAAACCCTTCCTCAAGGCCTGGAGGTTGGTAACACAAAAACACCCTGAGAAGAACCTGAAGCATCCCCTCCCTGGTAGTTGAGTGAATCGGATTTCTCCCCCAAGATTCCTAAAAATCTCATGTTTCTAGAAAATTCTCAGAAAAAGCAAGTTCTCTTAAACCTCCCTGGCTGTACTCTGATGCTCCAGAGCCAACGTCACAACCATCACAGAATCTCCATCCCCTTGAAACCTGGTTCTCTGGCAATGTTCCTCATGCCTGTAATACCAGCACTCTGGGAGGCCAAGGCGGGTGGATCACAAGTCAAGAGATCGAGACCATCTTGGCCAACATGGTGAAACCCTGGCTCTACTTAAAAAAAAAAAAAAGGCCGGGCGTGGTGGCTCACGTCTGAAATCCAAGCACTTTGTAGGCCAAGGTGGGCGGATCACCTGAGGTCGGGAGTTCAAGACCAGCCTGACCAACATGGTGAAACCCTGTCTTTACTTTTTTAAAAAAAAAGCCAGGCATGATGGCAGGTGCCTGTAATCCCAGCTATTCGGGAGGCTGAGGCAGGAGAATCGCTTGAACCCTGGGAGCAGAGGTTGCAGCAAGCAGAGATCACGCCACTGGACTCCAGCCAGGTGACAGAGCAAGACTCCATCTCAAAAAAAAAAAAAAAAGCCAGTCTCATATACCAGTCTCAAAATAAATAGATTAAAATTTAAAAATAAACGCCCGGCGTGGTGGCTCACGCCTGTAATTCCAGCTACTCAGGAGGCTGAGGCAGGAGAATTGCCTGAACCCAGGAGGCAGAGGTTGCGGTGAGCCGAGATCGCACCATTGCAGCCTGGGTAACAAGAGCGAAACTCTGTCTCAGAAAAAAAGATTGAATATACAAAGGTCAATGGTCAGAACTCTGGCCAAGTGCATTGGTGCACGCCTGTAATCCCAGCACTTTGGGAGGCCGAGGCAGGGGGGCTGCCTGAACCCTGGAGTTTGAGACCAGCCTTGGCAACATAGTAAGACTCATCTCAATAAAACTAATTTATTTATTTTTTTTCTTTTGAAAGGGAGTCTTGCTCTGTTGCCCAGGCTGGAGTACTGTGGCATGATCTCGGCTCACTGCAACCTCCACCTCCTGGGTTCAAGTGATTCTCTTGCCTCAGCCTCCTGAGTAGCTGAGGTTACAGACACCCACCACCATGTCCAGCTAATTTTTGTATTTTTAGTAGAGACAGTGTTTCATCATGTTGGCCAAGCTGGTCCCAAACTCCTGAACTCAGCTGATCCGCGCCTTGGCCTCCCACAGTTCTGGGACTACAGGTGTGAGCCACTGCGCCCAGCCTTTGTCTCTTTCCCTCTGTCTCTCTGTGTCTCCCTTCGTCTCTCTTCTCCAGTCTCCCTCTCTCATTTTCCTCTCCCCCTTTCTCTTTCTACCCTTCCCCCTTCTGTTTCCCTCTCTCTTTCTTCCAAAAATATAAGTTGAGAACATCCTTGGTGACAGGCACTGTTATGGGAACCGTGACAGGGTGGGCGGGGGGACTGGAGTCCCTGCACATATTGAAGATTAAAGATTGAGGTTCCATGGCCAGGCGCGGTGACCCATGCCTGTAATCCCAGCACTTGAGACTACTGAGGTGGGCAGATCATTTGCGATCAAGAGCGTGCGACCAGCCTGAGCAACATGGTGAAACCCTGTCTCCACAAAAAAATAGGAAAAATGAGCCAGGTGTGGTGGTGGATGCTGTAATCCCAGCTTCTCAGGAGGCTGAGGCGTGAGAATCGCTTGAACCCGCGAGGCAGAGGTTGCAGCCAGCTGAGATCTCAGTGCTGCACTCCAGCCTGGGAGATAGCCTTCGACCCTGCCTCAAAAAAAAAAGCAAAAGCTTTAAAGCAGAGAAAAGGGAAAGCTTTAGATATGCCCTGATCAAAGGCTGCTGGCACTGGGAGGTGGCCAGGGAGCTAACCAGAAGGAGGCCCTTGGAGGGCTGTTTACACAAACATTGGCTTTCTCTGCTTGGTACTAAGCTGAAATCAAGGTTGGGGGGTGGGCGCAAAAATTAGGGAAGCTATGAGTGATGGATCCAGCCCTGGCCATTTGGGGCTGATGGCTGCAGAGGCTGTGACTGATGGCTGTAGAAATGTTGTGGTCTGTGTTCTTTTTAAATTAATTAGTTGCAGAGGCCAGGCGCGGTGGTTCATGCCTTTAATCCCAGCACTTTTGGGAGGCCAAGGTGGGCGGATCACCTGAGGTCAGGAGTTTGAGATGAGCCTGGCCAACATGATGAAACCCCGTCTCGTCTCTACTAAAATTACAAAAATTAGCTGGGTGTGATGGCGTGTGCCTGTAATCCCAGCTACTCCGGAGGCTGGGGAAAGAGAATCATTTTGAACCCAGGAGGCGGAGGTTGCGGTAAGCCGAGATCTCACCACTGCACTCCAGCCTGGACGACAGAGCAAGACTCTGTCTCCAAAAATAAAAGAAAGAAAAAAGAACGATTTCCGAGCACCTTGGGAGATGGGCCTCACTCACATCAAATCCTGTCTTCCTCCCTCTCATCACCTTCTATCCTAGTACTTCCCCACCGTGAGAATAATAAGAATCATCTGCGGAGCTGTTAAAATCCAGACTCCGAGACCAGAGAGGGGTGTGATCCCAGGTGTGGGCATGATTTTTCTGGGGTTGCATTTAACAAAGTTCAAAACCCAGGAGGTACAATCAACACCCGAGCCATCCGGAGACTCCAGGCTTCTTAGAGGAGATTGAAAAGAGGAATTCAGCCCGGGCACAGTGGCTCTCGCCCTTAATGCCAGCACTTTGGGAGGCCGAGGCAGGAGGATGGCTTGAGCCCAGGAGTTGTAGACCAGCCTGGCCAACATGGTGAGACCCCTACCTCTACCAAAAAAAAAAAAAAAAGACGAGAGAAAGGAGAAGCTCCTAGAGGAAGTTCCCAGAGGAAATAGGAGGGAGAAGCCTGAGGGCTGCACCCAGCCAGGTAGTGTGTGAATCTGTGAACCACAGTCGGGGTTGCTGGGTGTGGGACACCAAGCCCAGCCCAGGGGTGTGACTCCGTAGAGAAGCCAACGCTAGCCTTGCACCCAGCCTCCTCCCTGGCTGGACTGTTGACTGAGCCCACCCCCATATCCCCACTCTTCCTGGTCTCCATCTCCTCACCTGATGAGTGGGTGGGGAGGGTAATTCCCCTAGGGTGTGGCTCTTCTCACTGCTGTTATGTGATCTTACAAAATGGGCTCTGTTGTCATCTCTCTCTCCCTAGAATGAATCATTACTTTATCTTTTTTTTTTTTTTTGAGACAGGGTTTCACTCAGGTGGCCCAGGCTGGAGTGCAGTGGTGCAATAAGGACTTACTGTAACCTCCACCTCCTCCGTTCAAACGATTCTCCCACCTCAGTCCCAAGGCCGGGCGCAGTGGCTCACACCTGTAATCCTAGCACTTTCGGAGGCCAAGGTGGGCGGACCAGTTGGGGTCAGAGTTTGAGACCAGCCTGGCCAACGTGGTGAAAGTCCATCTCTACTAATAATACAAAAATTAGCCGGGTGTGCTGGCAGGTGCCTGTAATCCCAGCTACTGGGGAGGCTGAGGCAGGAGAATTGCTTGAACCTGGTAGGTGGAGATTGCAGTCAGCCAAGATCGTGCCACTGTACTCTAGCCTGGGCGACAGAGTGAGACTGCATCTCAAAAATAAAATAAAATAAAATAAAAATTAATAAATAAAAGAATGAGGCGGCCAGGTACAGTGGCTCACACCTGTAATCCCAGCATTTAGGGAGGCTGAGGTGGGAGGATCATGAGGTCAGGTGTTTGAGACCAGTCTGACCAACATGGTGAAACCCCGTCTCTGCAAAAATACAAACATTGGCCGGGCATGATGGTGGGCTCCTGTAATCCCAGCTACTTGGGAGGCCAAGGCAGGAGAAATGCTTGAACCTGGGAGACGGAGGTTGTGCAGAGCTGAGACCCCACCACTGCACTCCAGCCTGGGCGGCAGAGTGAGACTCCAACTCGAAAAACAAAACAAAACAAAATTATAGGTGTTGTGGCACACGCCTATAGTCCCAGCTACTTGGGAGGCTGAGGGAGGAGAATCTGGGAAATGGAGGTGGCAGTGAGCAGAGATAAGGCGTTGCCCTCCAACCTGGTCAACAGAGTGAGACTCTGTCTCCAAAAAAAAGAATACATTGGTTAAGGGGTTAATAAATAAACAAATACATAAAGGAGCCTCAAGGTCTCTGACCTCCCCCCATCTTCTCTCCCAAAGCACAGGCCTTTGTCTGCTAAGATCCAGACCTGCCAAGGGGAATAGCTGTTTTTCCTTCTCCCTGTGAGACAAAGAATGTGGCCACAGCTGAACAGGTCCCATCAGTGTCAATGGGAATGATTCCCAGGACCCATTCATCCTCCCTAGTAATCCTCTATTGCCCTCAAAGGAATTCCTCAACCCTCCTCCCATAATCCATTTGCAAGGAGAACATATGAGCTCCAGGACCCCCTTGGGGGGTGGACAATCGCTATGGCTCTCCCCATGCTCCGGTTAAATACATTTGGAAGCCTTTTCTCCTGTTAATCTGCCTCCTATCATTCGTTTTCAGCAAACCTTGAGAGGGCCAAAAGCAGCCTTCGCCTTGGCCACAACACCCTCCACACCATCTGCTTCTCCCCCGCACCCCACCATGTATTCCCCACTCCTTGGGACCCCACTTCCAAGCATCCCACCCTCCCTGCTTCATGTCACCCTCCTCATTCTCTGCTTTTATAACCCTTTTACAATTACAGGCCCAGCCAGGTGCGGTGATGCATGCCTGTAATCCCAGCACTTTGGGTGGAGTTGATGTCAGGAGTTAGGGACCAGCCTGGCCAACATGATGAAACCCCATTCCTACTAAAAATAAAAACAATTAGCTGGGCATGATAGTGGGTGCCTGTCCCCCCAACTACTTGGGAAGCTGAGGCAGAAGAATTGCTTGAACCCTGGAGGCTGAGGTTACAGTGAGCTGAAATTATGCCACTCCACTCCAGCCTGGTGACAGAGCAAGACACCATCTCAAAAAGATAAATAAATTAAATAAATAAACAAATAGGCTGGGCGAGGTGGCTCTCGCCTGTAATCCCTAGACTTTGGGAGCCCAAGGTTAGGATTTCAAGACCAGCCTGACCAACATGGTGAAACCCCGTCTCTACTAAATAAACAAAAGAAAATCATCTGGGCATGGTGGCTGGCACCTGTAATCCGGGCTTCTCGGGAGGCTGAGGCAGGAGAATTGCTTGAACCTGGGAGGCGGACGTTGGGGAGAGCTGAGATTGCGCCATTGCACTCCAGCCTGGAAAACAGAGGGAGGCTCTATCTCAAAAAACAATTTTTAAAATGTAAAAATTTTAAATAAAAATTTTTAAAATGCCAGCTGATACACGTTTCCTTCCTCCCTTCCTCTTTTTTTTTTTGATGGAGTTTCGCTCTTGTCTCCCAGTCTGCAGTGCAATGGTGCAATCTCTGCTCACCGCAATCTCCACCTCCCTGGTTCAAGCAATTCTCCTGCCTCAGCTTCCCAAGTAGCTGGGATTACAGGCACCCACCACCATGCCCAGCTGATTTTTTGTATTTTTAGTAGAGAGGGCGTTTCATTCACCATGTTGACCAGGCTGGTGTTGAACTCCTGACCTCAGGTGATCCATTTGCTTTGGCCTCCCAAAGTGCTGGGATTACAGGCGTGAGCCACGGAGACTGGCCCTTTCTTTCTTTTGAGATAGTGTTTCTCTGTCACTTAGGCTGGAGTGTAATGGTGTGGGGATCTTGGCTCCCTGCAGTCTTAACTTATGCTGGAAAGATCCTTCTGCCTCAGCCTCCTAAATAGCTGGGATTACAGGCACAAACCACTAATCCTAATTTTTGTATTTTTTTTGTAGAGACAGGGTTTTGCCATGTTCTCCAGGCTGGTCTCAAAGCAAAGCCTGCAATTACAGGCATGAGACACTGCTCCCAGCCCAGACTTTTGTTCTCGTTTATATTTCCACAAACCTCCAAAGATAAAATAAAGCCGCAAAAGGTGCCTAGGTCAGCCACTGCCCACCAGTAAATAAGTCAGCATCTCCGCACAGATCAAAGCGATCTTCCTTCCCGTAGAGCCTCTTGCAGGGAAGAGAGCTCTGACGTCCCATCTGTTCCCCAGCCATGCTAGGATGCCCCTATGCGTCGATGGCATTGTTTTATAACCCATTGTTTCACCCTCTGCAGCCACCCTTCCTGGAACATAAGTGCAGGTGGGAGTTGGGGATTGGTCCGCTAACTGGGTATAGAGAAAACAGATGGGTATGTTATTTTTGGTGAGGGCTCTTCTGTCCTGGGAAAATGTGGCCTCTCCTAAGGGACCCTATCCTGTTCAATCACCCTGACTCCCTTTACTTATTTATTTATTTTTTTGAGATGGAGTCTTCCTGTGTTGCACAGGCTGGAGTGTAGTGGTGCAATCTCAGCCCACTGCAACCTCTGTCTTCTAGGTTCAAGTGATTCTCCTGCCTCAGTTTCCTGAGTGGCTGGGACTATAGGCACACACCACCATGCCCTCCCAATTTTTGTATTTTTAGTAGAGACAGGGTTTTGACACGTTGGCCAGGGTGGTCTCGAACTCCTGCCCTTAGGTGATCCTTCCACATTAGTCTCCCAAAGTGCTGGGATTACAAGCATGAGCCTTTGCACCCGGCCTCTCACATTTTCTCTCTTCCCAGATTTGGTTCAAGAACTTAAGAGCTAGGCCCTGTGCAGTGGCTCATGCCTGTAATCCCAGCACTTTGAGACGCCAAGGCAGGCGGCTTGCTTGAACTGAAGAGTTCCAGACCACCCTGGGCAACATGGTGAGATCCTTGACTTACAAAGATCCGCCAGGTGTGGTGGCACGTGTCGGTGGTACCTGCTAATCAGGACACTGAGGCCGGGGATCGCTTGAGCATGGGAGGTCAAGATTGCAGTGAGCCAAGATGGAGGCACAGCACTCCAGCTGGAGCAACAGAGCGAGACCCTATCTCAAAAAAGAAAAAAGAAAAGAAAAGAAAAAAAAAAAGAAACAAAACGCTAACACTGGAGAGCCAGAGCAGGAACGTTTCCGACCTCCAAACCTGAGACATGAGTCACCCTGATAGCGTTGCCTGCCTGTGATCCCTCCATGCCTGTGATTCTTACGGAACAAGGCGCTTCGAGCATCCTCGCTGCTCCCATGCCCTTGACCCCATCCCTCTTCTTGTCTCCACAGCCCCCCAAAGGGGGATATTTGCCCACCTTCTCACCTGGGACACCCTGGGCATGGATCTCCCCATCTGGAGAGCTAGGTGTGCTCGCGGGGTCTCCACACCCCTCCACATCCCTATCCCCTGCAAAGCGGGCCTCTTTACCTGCAAAGCCCCCCGGCGCAGCCTCCCCCCTCCACCATACCCTGATGCCAGGCTTGCTTCCCGCCTCCTGCCTGGAACGCAGCTGCTCGCGCATCCCCCACGCCTTCCCAAGCCCCCGGAGCGCTCCACGCCCTCTCGCCTGACCCCTGTTTCCGCCGCCTGCGTCTCCACTCCCCCAACGCCGCCACGCCCTGGACGGAGGTCTCTGGGGCTGCGCGCCAGCTGCGCGTCCCTGCGGAGTTCCCGTGCGCCACGAGGCTCGATGGCGCGCGCCTCCCGACCCGTCCAGCCCGGGCGCGGCGACACCTTTCTTTGCCACCTGGAACCAACACCTTGGTTCCCTTTTGAGGGATCAGAACTTGTTTAGTTGGAATACGGCACAATTTTGCATTTTTCTGCCGTCTCGATTCCGACTTCAGAATTCTGGTGTCCAGCCCGGCAATCATCTTCCGGTGCCAGCGCGGCAAGTCGGTACGTTTCCCCCGCGATGCCCCCCGGGTGCCCGGGTAGAGGGATGGAGCTCTCCCCTCTCCACAGCCCCCTAGTTAACTGGTTTCCCTTTCGCCCCGGGCCTGGAAGTATCGCGCCCCTCCCATCCTCCCCCCGCCAAGAAAGCTCTTCAGGCTACAGCCCCTTTCCCAGCCGGGAAGTCCAGGGCTCGTCCGGCCCGCTAGACCTCGGGGAGCAGCGGCATCGGAACCCCCATTAAGAGGAGTCCAGTCCGGGGCGGTGGCTCGCGCCTGTAATCCCAGCACTTTGGGAGGCCGAGGCGGGTGGATCACCTGAGGTCAGGAGTTTTAGAGACCATCCTGGCCAACATGGCGAATCCCATCCCTACGAAAAATACAAAAATTAGCAGGGCGTGGTGACGGGCGCTTGGTAATCCCAGGTATTCGGGAGGTTGAGGCGAGAGAATCGCTTGAACCCGGGAGGCGGAGGTTGCGTTGAGCTGAGATCGTGCCGCTGCCCTCCAGCCTGGGCGGCAGAGCGAGACTCTGTCTTGCGGCGGGGGAAAAAGGGTGGTCCAGGCCGGGCGCCCTGGCTCGGGCCTGCAATCCCAGAACTTTGGGCGGCCGAGGCGGGCAGATCACCTGAGGTCGGGTGTTCTAGACCAGCCTGACCAACATGGAGAAACCCCGGCTCTACTAAAAATACAAAATTAGCCGGGCGTGATGGCGGATGCCTGTGATTCCAGCTACTTGAAAGGGTGAGGCAGGAGAATCGCTTGAACCCGGGAGGCAGAGGTTGCGGTGAGCTGAGATTGTGCGGCGAGCTGATTTTCTTGGGGAAGGAAAAAAGGGTGGTCCAGGCCCAGCGCAGTGGCTCGGGCCTGCGATCCCAGCACTTTGGGAGGCCAAGGCGGGCGGATCACCTGAGGTCAGGAGTTCTAGACCAGCCTGACCTACATGGGGAAACCCAGTCTCTATTGAAAATACAGATTTAGCTGGGTAAGGTGGTGGGTGCCTGTGATCCCAGCTACTTGAAAGGGTGAGGCAGGAGAATCGCTTGAACTCGGGGGGCGGAGGTTGCATTGTGCCGAGATTTTGCAGCTGGGCAGAGCCAGACGCTGGCTTGGGGGAAAAAGGGGCTGTCCAAAATGGGCGCTAATGGCTTGGGCCTGCAATCCCAGAACTTTGGGAGGCTGTGGCAGGCGGATCACCTGAGGTTGGGTGTTCTAGACCAGCCTGACCAACATGGAGAAACCCGGGCTCTACTAAAAATACAGAATTAGCCAGGCATGATGGCAGCTGCCGGTGATCCCAGCTACTTGAAAGGGTGAGGCAGGAAAATCGCTTGAACCCGGGAGGCAGAGGTTGAAGTGTGCCGAGATTGTGCAATTGCACTCCAGCCTGGGCGGCAGAGCGAGACTCCATCTTGGGCGGCAGAGCGAGACTCCATCTTGGGGGGAAAAAAAAGGGGGGGTGGCCTAGGCCAGAAACACGGTGGCCTAGGCCAGGAGCACGGTGGCTTGGGCCTGCAATCCCAGCACTTTGGGAGGCCAAGGCGGGCCATCACCCGAGGTCAGGGGTTCCAGACCAGCCTTACCAACATGGTGAACACGGTCTCTACCAAAAATTACAAAATTAGTTGGGCTTGAAAGGGTGAGACAGGAGAATTGCTTGAACCGGGAGGCAGAGGTTTCCGTGCGCAGAGATTGTGCTGCTACACACTCCAGCCTGGGTGGCAGAGCAAGACGCCATCTTGAGAAAGAGAGAAAAGGTGGTTCAGGCTGGGCGCGGTGGCTCAGGCCTTCAATCCCAGTACTTCGGGAGGCTGAGGCGGGCAATCACCTGAGGTTGGGAGTTCTAGACCAGCCTGACAAACATGCAGAAAACCCGTCTCTACTAAAAATACAGAATTAGCCAAGTGTGATGGTGCATGCCTGTAATCCCAGCTACTCGGGAGACTGAGGCATGAGAATTGCTTGAACCTGGGAGGCGGAGGTTGTGGTTAGCCGAGATTGTGCCACTTCACTCCAGCCTGGGTGGCAGAGCAAGAGGCTGACTTGGAAAAGAAAAAAAGGGTGGTCCAGGCTGGGAGCATGGTGGCTGGGTCTGCAATCCCAGCACTGTGGGAGGCCAAGGCGGGTGATCACCTGGGGTCAGGAGTTCTAGACCAGCCTGGCCAACATGATGAAACCCTGTCTCTAATACAGATACAAAATTAGCAGGGCGTGGTGGCGAGTGCCTGTGGTCCCAGCTGCTTGACAGGGTGAGGCAGGAGAATTGTTTGAACCCGGGCAGTGGAGGTTGCAGTGTGCTAAGATTGTGCCACTGCACTCCAGCCTGGGTGGCAGAGAAGATGCCGTGGTGTGGGTGGGTGGGGGGGGAGGATGGTCCAGGCTGGGAGCGTGGCCTGCAATCCCAGCCGTGGGAGGCTCTAAGACACTGCTGGATTATCACTTGAGCCCAGAAATTAGAGAGCATCGTGTGCAAATATAGTGAGACCCTGTGTTTATTTGTTTTCTTGAGACGCCTGTGTTAAAGCAAACCAAGTATGGCCTGAGAAGGACTCCGTATACTATGTTTGGATCCTAATGGATGAACTGCAACCTCACTTAAGGTACAAAAGATTGAAAACTTAATGTAGGCTGGGCACGTGGGCACATGGCTCTGGGTGGCAGAGCAAGACGCTGTCTTGGCGGGGCGGGGGTAGGGAGGGGGCAGGGGGAAGGGAATAAGGATGGTCCAGTCCTGGAGCACGTGGCTCAGGCCTGCAATCCCAGCACTGTGGGAGGCTGCGGCAGGATTATCACTTGAGCCCAGGAGTTGGAGACCAACCTGGGTAATAGAGAGACTCCTGTTTCTTTTTTGAAACCCCTGTGTTAAAGCAAACTAAATATGGCCTGAGAAGGACTCCATACTGCTATATTTGAGTCCTTGTGGATGAACTGCAGCCTAACTTAGTAAGTACAAAAGATTAAAAACCTAACTTTAGGCCGGGCGTGGTGGCTCATGCCTATAATCCCAGCACTTTGGGAGGCCAAGGCGGGTGGATCACAAGGTCAAGAGATCGAGACCATCCTGGTCAACAAGGTGAAACCCCGTCTCTACTAAAAATACAAAAATTAGCTGGGCACGGTGGTGTGTGCCTGTAATCCCAGCTACTCAGGAGGCTGAGGCAGGAGAATTGCTTGAACCCAGGAGGCGGAGGCTGCGGTGAGCCGAGATCGTGCCATTGCACTCCAGCCTGGGTAACAAGAGCGAAACTCCGTCTCAAAAAGAAAAAAAAAATCGTACCTTTAGGCCATGTGTGGTGGTTCGGGCCTGTAATCCCAGCACTTTGGGAGGCCGAGGCGGGCGGATCACCTGAGTTCAGGAGTTCGAGACCAGCCTGACCAACATGGTGAAACCCCGTCTATTTACTAAAAATAGAAAATTAGCTGGGAGTAGTGGCTGGTGTCTGTAGTCCCAGCTACTTGGGAGGGTGAGGCCGGAGAATCACTTGAACCCTGGAGGCGGAGGTTGCAGTGAGCCGAGATTATGCCACTGCACTCTAGAGCGAGGCGCCATCTTTTGGAGGGGGAGGGAGGAGGATGATCCAGGCCGGGAGCACATGGCTCGAGCCTGCAATCCTAGCTCTGTGGGAGGCTGTGGCAACATTATGGCATGAGCCCAGGAGTTAGAGACTGGCCTGGGCAATGTAGTGAGACCCCTGTGTTAAAGCAAACTAAATATGGCCTGAGAAGGACTCTGTAATTTTACATTTGAGTCTTTGTGGTTGAACTGCAGCCTAACTCAAGGTACAAAAGATTGAAAACCTAATTTAGGCCAGCGCGGTGGCTCACACCTGTAATCCCAGCAGTTTGGGAGGCCGAGGTGGGCAGATCACCTGAGATCGGGAGCTCAAGACCAGCCTGACCGACATGGTGAAACCCTGTCTCTACTAAAAATACAAAATCAGCCGGGAGTGGTAGCTGGTGCCTGTAATCCCAGCTACACGGGAGGGTGAAGCAGGAGAATTGGTTGAACCCGGGAAGCGGAGGTTGCAGTGAGCCGAGACTGCGCCGCTGCACTCTAGTTTGGGTGGCAAAGGGAGACTCCATTGTGGGGGGGGGAAGGGTGGTCCAGGCTGGGCATGTGGCAGGGGCCTGCAATCCCAGCACACTGGGAGGCCAAGGCAGGGGGAATCACCTGCGGTTGGGAGTTCTAGACCAGCCTGACCAACATGGAGAAATCCCCTCTCTACTAAAAATACAAAATGAGCCGGGCATGGTGGCTGGTGCCTGTAGTTCCAGCTACTCTGGAGGGTGAGGCGGGAAAATCGCTTGAACCCAGAAGGCGGAGGTTGCAGTGAGCCGAATTCGCGCCATTTCACTCCAGCGCGGGCACCAGGGGCAAAATTCCATCAAAAAAAAAAAAAAAACCTAACTAGGTATTAGGTACCTGTAACCGCCACTGAGCGTTAGCCAATCACAGCAGCTGTACTTCACCCACTCACAGGCCGCTGAGCCCTCAAACTTTGTCCAAATAAGGCAAACGCTGAGCAGTAACCAATGAGCTGTCTCTGTACCTCACTTCCGATTTCTGTATGTCACTGCCCCTTCTGGCCCATAAATTTGGTCTGACTGCGAGGCACCCCAGTAGTCCGTCTGAATCTGCTGTGATGCTCGGAGCTGCATTGTTCAGCTGAACTCCTTTCAGTTTATTTTATGTAGTCTATTTTTACTTATTTTATTTTACTTTATTTTTATTTTTTTATATATTTTTGAGACGGAGTCTCGCTCTGTCGCCCAGGCTGCAGTGCAAAGGCACAATCTCGGCCCACTGCAACCTCTGCCTCCTGTTCAAGTGGCTCTCCTGCCTCAGCCTCCCCAGTAGCTGGGATTACAGGCACCTGCCACCATGCCTGGCTGCTTTTTTGTGTTTTTAGTAGAGACTGGGTTTCACCATGTTGGCCAGGCTGGTCTCGATCTCCTGCCCTCAAGTGATCTGTCCGCCTCGGCCTCCCAAAGTGCAGGGATTACAGGCGTGAACTACTGCGCCTGGCCCCCGTTAACTTTAATTTGGCTAAAGTTTTTCTTTTAACAGATGATGTCAGAAGCGGAGTCCAAAGGGAGAGCTTCCAGCGACCCTCAGGAGTGCTGAGTGACCACGCCAGGTTCACTTGTGTCCGCTGACCTCTCGGAGTGGCTGGGGACTGTGGGTAAGTTCCGTCTCGGATTTCAGAGCTCCACGGACTCGTGTTTCGAGCTCTCCGAGTTTCATTGAGCACATTTCCATCCAAACCGGGTTTGGAAGTCAGGACAGAAACTGGACTGGTTCTGGGAATGGATTTGACCTGGTAACGAGGTGGCTTGGATCCAGTTAGAGGCCTCTTACATCTGACTGGGCCAGAAAGAAACTGGTAGCAAATGGTAACATTGCAGGGGATGTGAATTTCGGCTTTTAAAAATTAACGGGGACGTCTGTGTTGCACCCGTTGTTCCATTGTTCTTGTGCACTTAGGCAGTAAAAAAAAAGTACTGAGTTAATCAAGGGAACCTGAGAGTAACCCCGATATTTTAGGCAAAAATGGGATCCTTCATTTCTCAAAACCTGAGTTCCTTCTAACCTATACATTAGTCACGGGAAGGAACCAAGGGTTACAGAAATGGCAAAATCCAGCCGGGCGCAGTGGCTCAGGCCTGTAATCTGAGGATTCTGGGAGCTGAGGCCGGATCACCTGAGCCCAGGAGTTTAAGACCAAGTTGGCCAACATGGTGAAACTCTGTCTCTGCTAAAAATTCAAGAATTAGTGGGGCATGGTAGCGTGTGCCTGTAGTTTCAGGTACTTGGGAGACTGAGGCACGAGAATTGCTTGAACCCAGGAGGCAGAGGTTGCAGTGAGTGGATATCACATCACCGTAGTCCAGCCTGGGTGACAGAGCAAGACTCTGTCTCAAAAAGTAAAAATAAAAATGGCTGGGCTTAGTGGCTCATGCATGTAATCCCAGCACTTTGGGAGGCTGAGGGATCACCTGAGGTCAGGAGTTCGAGACCCACCTGGCCAACATGGTGAAACACAGCCTCTACTAAAAACACAAAAAAGTAGCCAGGCATGGTGGCGCACACCTGTAATCCCAGCTACTTGGGAGGCTGAGGCATGAGAATGGCCTGAACCTGGGAGGCGGAGTTTGCAGTGAGGGGAGATTGCGCCATTGCTCTCCAGCCTGGGTAACAAGAGCAAAACATTGTCTCAAAAAAACAAAGTAATGAATAAAATAGAAATGAAGGATCCCCAGAGTTAAATCTGTTAATCTTACGGCGTAGTTACTCTCCCGATACCAGGGATTGCAGCACCAACTGTCGGACTTTGGATGAGTAATGGGGTCCATTTTAACCTGAGTGAAGGACGGGATTGGGTTAGAGGCCCTCCATCAGTCCAGTCCCCCTTGGTTAACAGTGGGTTAAAGATAACAGGGCACAACTGGAGGTAAGTTTGAGCCTTGCAAGTCCGACAGTGGGTGCTAAGCAGAGAGGCCAGTATCTGTGTTTTGTCACGTATGCTGCTTTGGCGCCAGAATGAAAAATGTTAATTGGCTTACCCCATGCAACGCGTTGGGCTTCACGTTGCAAAACTGAGAGGCTTTTGCCTGAGGCTCCACCAAACAACAAAAAAATTCCTTTATGATGCAGCGGGCTTGGCCCGCAGGGCTCTTATATGGCAGCTGGGGTCTCTAGGAGCACTCGGGCAAAGGGAACCCAGAAACCTGGCATTGCTGACGAAAGGTAAAGGATTTCTCATCAGTCAGACTCTGGCCTTTCTGTCTCTGTGCAAACTGGTTAAATGAATGGTAAAAATCACTGTTTATCTCATGTTTTGATTCATACAAAAAGGAATTCTGAGACTGGTCTTAAGCTGTAATTCATCTGGTGTGCTTTGTGTGTCTTTCTGTATTCTGTCACAAAGAGGGTACCTTGAGGTAAAATGCGTGCCTAGCACCCCATGAGCCTGCTGTTCGAGATGACCCAGCAGAGTGGTCAATCCTGGCCTTGGAAGCTTAACCTCCTGTGGCCATGCTTTCTCTTTGCACAATGGTGGCTCAGGTTCAGGGTTCAATTCCTGCTTTACTCAATGAGTACTTTCTGGAGTGACCTGTACCCTGTCACTTCCCTCTCCATATGGAACACAGAAATATTGGCTATTTGGCCTAGCTGTTTTAAAAGTGGATATTTGGCTGGGCCTCATGGCTCATGCCTGCAATGCATGTGGGGAGGCTGAGGCAGGCAGGTCACTTGAGGTCAGGAATTTGAGACAAGCCTGGGCAACATGGTAAAACTCTTTAAAAAAATAAATTGCCTGGGCATGTTGGCACATGCCTGGAATCCCAGCTACTCGGGAAGCTGAGGTGGGAAAATCGCTTGAAAAAAAAAATTGCCTGGGCATGTTGGCGCATGCCTGGAATCCCAGCTACTCAGGAAGCTGAGGCGGGAAAATTGCTTAGGCGGGAAAATTGCTTAGGCGGGAAAATAGCTTGAAAAAAAAATTGCCTGGACATGTTGGCGCATGCCTGGAATCCCAGCTACTCGGGAAGCTGAGGCGGGAAAATCGCTTGAAAAAAAATTGCCTGGACATGTTGGTGCATGCCTGGAATCCCAGCTACTCGGGAAGCTGAGGCGGGAAAATCGCTTGAAAAACAAATTGCCTGGGCATGTTGGCGCACGCCTGGAATCCCAGCTACTTGGGAAGCTGAGGCGGGAAAATCGCTTGAGCCTGGGAGGGCAAAGGTGCAGTGAGCCAAGATGGTGCCACTGCACTCTAGCCCAGGCAACAAAACAAGACTCCATTTCAAAAAAAAATTAAAAAATAAAATAAAAGTATATATTCAAATTCTAATAGCCTGGGACTCCTTGGGTAAAACAGGAGGCATGTGAGATGCCCTTTTGGAAAAACAAAACAAAACAAAAAAACCTGTTTTCCTCAGGAACCTCAGGAATAGGAAATGAATAGATTCACTGTCAAAATCTACTTTTTGGGATCCAAGATCTGGTAAAAGATGGGATCCTTAATTATTGGAGATCTGTTTTTTTGTTGTTTTGTTTTGGAGATGGAGTTTCACTCTTGTTGCCCGGGCTGGAGTACAATGGTGTGATCTCCGCTCACCAAAACCTCCACCTCCCAGGTTGAAGCACTTCTCCTGCCTCAGCCTCCTAAGTAGCTGGGATTACAAGCATGTGCCACAACACCTGGCTAATTTTGTATTTTTAGTAGAGACTTTTTTTTACCATGTTGGCCCGGTGGGTCTCAAACTCCTGACCTCAGGTGATCTGGTGATCTGCCCACCTTGGCCTCCCAAAGTGCTGGGATTACAGGCATGAGCCACAGTGCCTTTTTTTTTTTTTTAAAAGACAAGAGTTTCACTCTGTCATCCAGGCTGCAGTAGTGCAATGGCATGATCTCAGCTCACTGCAACCTCTACCTCCCAGGTTTAAGTGATTCTCCTGCCTTAGCCTCCTGAGTAGCTGGGAGTACAGGGGTGCACCTTCACACCCAGCTAATTTTGTATTTTTAGTAGAGATGGAGTTTCAACATGTTGGCCAGGCTGGTCTGGAACTGCTGGCCTTGTGATCTGGCCACCTTAGCCTCCCAAAGTGCTGGGATTACAGATGTGAGCCACAACGCCCAGCTTTGCCTTTCTGCTGTGCGCACTTATTATATTGGGCGCTAGAAGCTATATGCTTTCCTCGTCCTCTTTTTTTGAAGGACTCCACCCTAAAGCCAGCAAGTTCAAACAAATAAATACTTCAATCAAATATTTTGAAAGAAAAACTGCCTTTTAGTTTACATATCTGTGGGAAATGAAAAGTTTTAGAGATTGCTGGCAAAAAAGAGGACATTTAGTCTAAACTGGGCAGGTCAGGTATTAGGTTTATTAGATGCTTTAAGGTCATCCACTGCTTCTTAGACATTTGAAAATTGTTCAGTTTACCTATTTTGGAGCATTCGATTCTATATAAGTCCTGGGAACACGTGGAATTAGCCATGCACTCTATTTATGCATTAAAGGTGATAAAGAAATGAGATTTTTTAAATTGAGAAAAAACCACAGGTGCTTGTGCTCCACCTACCCAGTGCAGCAGGTAAGATGTGTTGGCAATGCGCCTTCAGTGGAGTGAAGAGGCCACAGCAGGATCCCACCTCGGCTGGATGGCACACTGGCCTTCACCTTCAATGCGCCATGGCAGCTTTCCCGTGAGTCTCTGACTTGTGCACATGCTAGACTCCTTGGTCTACAAGAAAGCATCTTGTACGGTAAATTCTTGTCTTAAAGTTAAATAACTGGTTGGTTCAAAAGAGGGGATGTTTAGGACAAGTCAGGAGGTCAAGCATGTTGTAGATGGTCTGGGTAAGTTGCGAAAGTATTCGTGAAAGGAAATTTAAGCACCAGAAGTAAAAGTTGCTAAGAGTTACCATTATTACATGCGATTAAAACTACTGAAAAATAGTTTCACATGCAAAGTGTATGAGAAATTGAAATGCGTTTTTGGTAAAAGATTTTAAGAAGGTATGAGAATCTAAACTTTTGCCTAGTTTAGAGGGTTATGTGATTGTTTTAAATTAGATAAGAATAAGCTGATGGTTTGAACAAGTTGTGGAAGGTTTGTAAAAATTCATCTTGTAAAAAAAAATTCTGTGTGCAAACATATTGACTAAATTCAAGGGAGTGTTTTTTTTAGTTTTCCGTAAATTAAACATCAAAATAAAATGACAAACAGGTTTCTTAAGGCACTGATCTGTTCTTTAACAAAATTTGTCCTTTTTCTAGACAGAGTCTTGCTCTGTCACCCATGCTGGAGTGCAGTGATGCAATCTTGGCTTGCTGCAACCTCTGCCTCCTGAGTTCAAGTGATTCTCATGTCTTGGCCTCCCAAGTAGCTGGGACTTACAGGCACATGCCACCACAGCCGGGTAATTTTTGTATTTTCTTTTTTAGTAGAGGTGGGGTTTCACTACATTGGCCAGGCTGGTCTCGAACACCTGACCTCAAGTGATCCACTTGCCTCAGCCTCCCAAAGTGCTGGGATTACAAACCGAGCCACCGTGACCAGCCTCAGTTGTCATTTTTAATGGATATTTTCTGGTTGTGAGAAAGCTCTTCCATTCAAGAGGGCTAATATTACAACAGTATCTTATTATGTCTAATATGTCACAGTATATTTTCACCTGGTAAAGAAAGCTTTTTTTTTTTTGGAGACAGAGTCTCGCTCTGTTGCCCATGCTGGAGTGCAGTGGCACAGTCTTGGCTCACTGCAACTTCTGCCTCTTGGGTTCAGGTGATTCTCCCACCTTAGCCTCCTGACTAGCTGGAATTACAGGTGCATGCCACCTCACCCGGCTAATTGAGTAGAGATGGGGTTTCACAGTGTTGCCCAGGTTGGTCTCAAACTCCTGACTTCATGATCCACCTGTCTCAGCCTCCCAACATGCTGGGATTACAGGTGTGAGCCACCGCACCTGGCCAAGCTTCTTTGAGATTTTCGTTCTTGTTGCCCAAGTTGGAGTACAGTGGTGTGATCTTCACTCACTGCAACCTCCACCTTCTGGGTTTAAGGAAAAAAAAGAAATACATTCCTCATAATAGGCTCTATAGAACATTCTACTGTAAAGGCTACGGTTATAAAACAGACTTTAAATTCTCTTTTGAAACTTATGCTAAATAATAGAATTGGCTGAACAGAAAAGTATCTGTGCAGCTGATGGGTCTTAACGGGCTATGGGAAAAACATCAGGTATTACAGATAGAGATTCACTTGTGGGGATTAACGAAAAGACCGCTTAGTTAAGCAAGTAGACTCCTCATGCAGCTCATCCTTTCATCTTTTTCATTTTGGTTGTTTGGTTTATGGGGGCCCTGGGGAGCAGCATACTCTAAATTCTTGGTATTTTCCTCCCAATAGTCATAGTAACAGTCTCCCTTGTGCACTGTATACTCTCAAAGCTTTTAAATATTTGTGTTCAGCCGTCTCTAGAATGTCAAGTGATCTCTCTTCAACTGGAATGACAAAAGCTGAAAGAACTGCAACCGTGAGGGCACCATAACCCATAGATTACATTCTGGTGTGTTAAGATCAGATATCTAAGCCTGTTAAAAAAGAGAGAGAGAGAGAGAGAAATAAAAAAATTGGCCGGGCGCAGTGGCTCACGCCTATAATCCCAGCACTTTCGGAGGCCGAGGCAGGTGGATCACGAGGTCAAGAGATTGAGACCATCCTGGTCAAAAAGGTGAAACCCCGTCTCTACTAAAAATACAAAAATTAGCTGGGCATGGTGAGGGCGCCTGCCTGTAGTCCCGGCTACTTGGGAGGCTGAGGCAGGAGAATTGCTTGAACCCAGGAGGCGGAGGTTGAGGTGAGCCGAGATCGTGCCATTGCACTCCAGTCTCCGTAACAACAGCGAAACTCCATCTAAAAAAAATAAAAATTAAAAAATTACATTCTGAAACCAGAAATCCAAAATGATGGTGTCTGAGAGGGGTGTGAAGGCTCTAAGCTCTGGTCACAGTGAGAACCCAGAGAAAACGGGAATTTTTAAACAGCATTGTGAGGCTATTGTTTTTCACTGAGCTCATGCACTAGGCCCCAGCAAACCAAGCCAAACCAAAATGGAGTCACTCGTGCTAAATGAGAGATAATGGAACTAAGACTTTAAGGAAACACGTGGACCCTAGACCAGAACAGACCAGTTGTTTTTCTCCTGTAAACAGGATGTTCCAGCATAAGGTGGTGCCCTCTACTCAGGCCTTGTTCCTTCCTTTGCAAAACTCACGATTCCACTGTTTCCCAGTGGGTTTCAAGACCAAACAGGTACATTTATGATGCTTGAATAGTAATGTCAGTAACTAAAGTTTAATGACCAAAAGGGGGCAATTGTTAGGACTCCATACTCCTGTATTTGAGTCCTCGTGAATGAACTGCTGCCTAACTTCATAGCTACACAAGATTGAAAACCTAACCTAGGAGTATGCCGAGTCTTGGCTAACAGTCTTGGCCACTGAGTGCTCCATATGTGTTCAAGCTGTAACCAACCCAGCCATTTCCGCATCTCATTTCCGATTTCTATATATCACTTTACCTTTTTTGTCTATGCATTTGTTCCGACCACGAGGCTCTCCCTGGAGTTTCTCTGAAGCTGCTGTGATTTTGGGGACTAGCCATTTGTGAATCACTCATTGCTTAAACTCCTTTAAAAATTCAGCTGAAGTTTTTCTTTTAATGCCTGTCTCTACACGGTGGCTACCATGGCTCCTGCCTGTAATCTCAGCAGTTTGGGAGGCCAAGGCCGGAGGTTTGCTACAGCCCAGGAGTTTAAGACCAGGTTGGGGCGACATGGCAAGACCCCATCTCTACAAATAAAAAAAATAAAAATTAACCAGGCGTGGCTCACACCTGTAATCCCAACACCTTGGGAGGCTGAGGCAGGCAGATCACTTGAGGTCAGGAGTTTGAAACCAGCTTGGCCCACATGGTGAAACACTGTCTTTAGTAAAAATATAAAAATTACCCCAGCTGTGGGGTCTGCGCTTGTAATCCTAGCTACAAGCTAGGACTGGAGGCTGGAGTGCAGTGGCAGGATCTCAGCTCACTGCAATGTCTGCCCACCAGGTTCAAGTGATTCTCCTGCCTCAGCCTCCCAAGTAGTTGGAATCATAGGCGCATGCCACCTCAGTGGCTAATTTTTTGTTTGTTTTTTAGTAGAGACAGGGTGTCACCATGTTGGCCAGGCTGGTCTGGGACTCCTGACCTCAGGTGATCCACCCGCCTCAACCTCCCAGAGTTCTGGGATTACAGGTGTGAACCACCATGCCTGGCCTTCCTGCTGTCTTCAGAGTACCTGCAGCCACCACCAGGGGCTGAGGGCAGTGGTCAGGGACAGGCCTCATTGTGGTTACCACTGAGGAGACCCTGTCAATCTCTGTAGTTGTAGATCAAGCAATACTACGGCAGAAATTGCAGGAGCAGATTCTGCACCATCTCAGATCCAAAGAAGCTTCCCTTGCAAGTTGGTAACCTCTTGAGGGCTTCAGTATCACGTGGAGTTGGTCTGGGTGATGCCTGGCATTCCAGGTGTAACAACTTGGGGAACAGTTCCAGGATGGAGGTGATGTTTCTGGACTGGTATGGGAAGGTAGTGCACAGGACGTTTCTGTGTGTACACGTCTCTCCTGGCTCCAGCCCTTCCCTTGTCCATCTGTCCTACAGATCTCACCTTAGGCATGTCATCCTTGAGGACCTGCAGAAAGGCAGCCATGTACTTTCCTAGGATTTGATGGCATTTTAGGATCACGGGTCACTGGGTCTGGCTCAGAGGCGAGTCCCTGGCTGTCAAGACTATATTGGGGGCTGGGCGCGGTGGCTCACGCCTATAATCCCAGCACTTTGGGAGGCCGAGGCAGGCGGATCACAAGGTCAAGAGATCGAGACCATCTTGGCCAACATGGTGAAACCCTGTCTGTACTAAAAAATATAAAAATTAGCTGGGCATGGTGGTGCATGCCTGTAATTCCAGCTACTCGGGAGGCTGAGGCAGGAGAATTGCTTGAACCATAGAGTCAGAGGTTGCAGTGAGCCGAGATCACACCACTGCCCTCTAGCCTGGTGCCTGGCAACACAGTGAGACTCTCCCTTTTTAAAAAAAGTCTATATTGGGAGGCATCACAGCTCTATCTGCTTTGCCTTTTCTGACTCCAGCTCCCTCTGCATAGAACTGGGCATAGCAGCAGGGTTGACAAACATTGGTATCTCTTCGTTACCCCCATCTTGCCGCCGACATGCCTCAGTGCTTCCGCGACGCTGCCATTCTCCAAAGACACGGGCCTGCGTTTTCTTATAGTGAAACTGAATCAGGAGGAAGGGGCATTGCATTGACTCTGAATCAAATTCAGCAGCCACTTAGGTTATTTTACGCAGTTCTTGAACCAGCAGCTCCTTAAGGTCCTATCTGGCCGGTTTCCCTCTGTTCTCTCTGGAGGTTTTGGTTCTCTCTCTGTGTTAACAGGGGTTCCGTCTTGTTTATAGAATGTGTCTCTCCATGGTTGGGCGCGGTGGCTCGTGCCCATAATCTCAGCAGTTTGGGAAGCTGAGGTCAGGAATTCCAGACTAGCCTGGCCAACACTGTGAAACCCTGTCTCTTCTAAAAGTACAAAAAAAGTAGCCAGACGTGGTGGGTACCTGTAATCCCAGCTACTTGGGAGGCTGAGGGAGGAGAATTGCTTGAACCTGGGAGGTAGAGGTTGCAGTGAGCCATGATCATGCACTCAAGCCTGGTGACAGAGCGAGACTCTGTCTCAAAAACGCGGAAAAGAACTGAGGCTAAGAAGGGTAAAGCCAGGCTGGGCACAGTGGCTCATGCCTATAATCACAGCGCTGTGGGAGGCCCAGGCGGGTGGATCACCTGAGGTCAAGAGTTAGAGACCAGCTTGGCCAACATGGTGAAAACCCATCTCTACTAAAAATACAAAAATTAGCCAGGTGTGGTGGCAGATGCCTGTAGTCCCAGCTACTCAGGAGGCTGAGGCAGAAGAATCTCTTGAACCCACGAGTTGAGGTTGCAGTGAGCCAGGATGGTACAATTGCACTCCAGCCTGGGCGACAGAGACTCTGACTCAATTTAAAAAAAAAAAAAAAAAAAGCAAGATAAAGCCACTTCTTTACAGCCCCAGTTCAAATCCAGGCTATCTCACTTCCCAGTTAAGGAAGGGGTCTTTTCTTTTCGAGACAAGGTCTCCCTTTGTTGCCCAGGCTGGAGCACAGATGCGATCACCGCTCACTGCAACCTCTGCCTCCTGGCCTCAAGCAATCCTCCTGCCTCGGCCTCCCAAGTAGCTGATTTTTTTTTTTTTTTCTGTTTTTAACTTTTTTTCTTGTCAAAGGACTGAATGCAGGAAAGGGTTCTTTCTGGTTTGGAACAGCGTGTGTGTGTTTTGTGTTTGTTTTCAATATTCATGAAAGGGAATGGAGTGAGCATAAGTGCTGGAGAAACTGAACTGTCCGAATCTAGCTGACTGACCCCTCCGTCGGTTTGCAGGGCCTTGAATGCCAAGCTGAGGAGCTGGGACTTTATCATGAGGGCAGTATGGACCCATGGGAGGGTCTGGGCAGAGAAAGGGCAGGGTCAGCTCTGAGTGCTGGAGAGCTCTCTCTAGGGTGATGTGGAAGATGCCACGGAGGGCACGGGGGTGGACACCGGGAGGTCAGGGGCCTGCAGTCATGGTCTAGACCTCAGCCATCCAACACGGTAGCCACAAGCCACATGTGGCTAGTGAGAGTTGAAACGTGGCTGGTCTGAAGTGAGGTGTGCCTTAAGTGTCAAATGCGGATCCGATTTTGAACACCTAACTTCCAAAAAAAAGTATGTGATGCAATTAATACTTTTTTCAGGCTGGGGGAGTTGGGTCACGCCTGGAGGATCACATGAGGCCGGAAGTTTGAGGTTGCAGTGAGCTATGACCACGCCACTGCACTCCAGCCTGGGTGGCAGAGTGACACCACAACTCCTAAAATACTGATAATATTTTTTCCATATTGATTGCATGTTGAGGTGATACTCATAGGACGAACATAATTCCATGTTGGATATACTTTATTGGATTAAGTAAAGTGTATTTTTGAAATTAGGCAGATGTGGAAGCTCATGCCTGTAATCCCAGCACTTTGGGAGGTGGAGGTGGGCAGATAAGTTGAGCTCAGGAGTTCAAGACCAGTCTGGGCAACATGGCGAAACCCTGTCTCTAACAATATAAAAATATAGTTAGCCGGGCATGGTGGGGTAGTGGGTGCCTGTGGTCCCAGCTACTTGAGAGGCTGAGGCAGGAGAATGGCTTGAACCTGGAAGGCAGGGGAGTGCAGTGGCCTGATCTTGGGTCACTGTAACCTCTGCCTCCCAGGTTCAAGCCATTCTCTTGCCTCAGCCTTCCAAGTCGCTGAGATTACTGGCATGAGCTACCACGCCTAAAGCTGAGGTGAGCTGAGGTGGCTCACACCTGTAAGCCCAACATTGAGAGAGACTGAGGCATGTCTTGAGGTCACTTGAGCCCAGGAATTCAAGATCAGCCTGGACAACATAGTGAGAGCCCCTCATCTCTACAAAAAATTTAAAAATTACCGACTCATGGTGTAGTCCCAGCCACTTGGCAGACAAAGGTAGGAGGATTGCTTGAACACAGGACTGTGTCGAGGCTGCAGTGAGCCTTCATTGTACCACTCAACTTTAGCTTGGGAGGCAGTGAGACCCTGTCTCAAAAAAAAAAAAAAAAAGCTGGGCGTGGTGGCGTGTGCCTGTAATCCCAGCTACTTGGGAGGCTGAGGCAGGAGAATTGCCTGAACCCAGGAGGCGGAGGTTGCGATGAGCCGAGATCGCGCCATTGCACTGCAGCCTGGGCAACAAGAGCGAAACTCCGTCTCAAAAAAAAAAAAAAAAAAAAAAAAAAAAAAAAAAAAAGGGAAGAATTTCTCCCAACTTTCCTTGGTTCTGCCTGGCCCTCTGGCTAAAAAGTGATTGGGGACTTTTTAAAAAACGCCCTGCTTTCCACAGAATGGGATTTTAGCCTCCGGGATGATCCATAAAAGATTTGCAGAAAGAATGAGGAGATTAGGGAGTAGCTAATGGATAAGAAAGGTTGTGAAAACAGTAGGTAGAGTGTCACAAAGAAATCCATTCATCTCTTTGAAGCCTGGGTATTTGAGCAAAGAGAAGACTTCCTTCAGAGAGCACTCGCCTGTATTTAGGAGAGCTTGGAGAGGGTGCGGTAACTGCAGAATTAGGGAAAGTTCAGTGTCTTGTAAATCGGGCCTGAAACGCCCTGACCCTGCAGGCCCCTCACGTTTCCCAAACTCTCCACCAGCTTCCAAATTTGCATTAAAAAGCTTTTGGCTGGTTCATTCTGTTTTTGTTTGTTTTGAGATGGAGACTCCCCTCTGTCACCCTGGGTGGAGTGCAATCTCACTGTGACCTCAGCCTCCGGAGTAGCTGGGATTACAGGCGTCCACCACCACCCCCAGCTAATTTTTTGTGTTTTTAGTGGAGATGGGGTTTCACTGTGTTGGACAGGATGGTCTCGAATTCCCGACCTCGTAATCCAACCACCTCGACCTCCCAGTGGCCGAGATTGCGCCGCTGTGCTCCAGCCTGGCAAAAGTGAGATTCCCTCTCCAAAAAAACAAAAAAATGCATTTCACAGAAGCTAGGAAAATCAAATTCTAGGACAAGGCTAGAGGGCAAGAGTGGGTATGGCCAGACTTAAGTCCATTCTAACGCACCTGTCGGTAGTCCCTGGGGCATAAAAGAGCTCTAGGACGCTGGCCCTTCCTTTCATCCTCAGAATGGGAAGCCTGCAGAGCTCAGTTAAATATTGGGTTCCCTTGGTCTTTCTCCACGCCCACTGTGGTCCCATGAACCTCACATTGTAAGACTTCCCCTAAAATGTCCAATATGGAGCCCTCTCTTTCCAGTCGTGACTCCCGCACCTTGATTCTCTGCCCCAATACTCTTTTTTGAGAGGGAGCTTCACTCTGTCGCCCAGGCTGTAGAGCAGTGGTGCGATCACAGCTTGTTGCAGCCTCCGACTCCCGGGTTCAAGCAATTCTCCTGCCTCAGCCTCCCAAGTAGCTGGGATTGCAGGTGCCTGCCACCACACCCAGCTAATTTTTGTATTTTTAGTAGGGATGGGGTTTCACCATGTTGGCCAGGCTAGTCTTGAACTCATGACCGTGTGATCCTCCTGCCTTGGCCTCCCAAAGTGCTGGGATTACAGGCATGAGCCGCCATGCCTGGACAACATTAGTGGTTTTTAAAAGTTTTTTATTTTATTCACTTCGTAGTGACTGGGTCTCACTGTGTTGCCCAGATGGGGGTCTCTGTTGCCCAGGCTGGAGTGCAGTGCTGACATCATCATGGCTCATAGTAGCCACAAACTCCCAGACTCAAGTGTCCCCTCTCACCCTAGCATCTCATGTAGCTGGGATGGCAGGCATACACCACCATGCTCAGCTAATTCTTCTTTTTCTTTTGTAGGATTGGGGTCTCCCATCATTGTTTAGGCTGCTCTTCAATACCTGGGGTCAAACATCCTCTCACCCTGGCCTCTAAGCCACCACACCCCATAGGTTTTAGATTCATTTTGTTTTTTAATTATGTCCCCACAAAGGCAGATTTTTTTTCTTTTTTCTTTTTTTTTGAGACAGAGTTTCGCTCGTGTTACCCAGGCTGGAGTGCAATGGCGCGATCTAGGCCCAGCGCAACCTTCGCCTCCTGGGTTCAGGCAATTCTCCTGCCTCAGCCTCCCGAGTAGCTGGGACTACAGGCACGCACCACCATACCCAGCTAATTTTTTGTATTTTTAGTAGAGACAGGGTTTCACCTTGTTGACCAGGATGGTCTCGATCTCTTGACCTCATGATCCACCCGCCTCAGCCTCCCAAAGTGCCGGGATTATAGGCGTGAGCCACTGCGCCCGGCCTGATTTTTTTCTTTTATTTCTTTTTTTTTGAGACAAAATGTTGATCTGGTCACCCAGGCTGCAGTGCAGTGGCATGATCTCTACTCACTGCAACCTCTGCCTCCCAGGTTCAAGCAGTTCTCCTGCCTCAGCCTCCCAAGCAGCTGGGATTACAGGCATGCACCACCAGGCCCAGCTAATTTTTTTGTATTTTTAGTAGAGACGGGGTTTCTCCATGTTGGTCAGGCTGGTCTTGAACTCCCGACCTCAGGTGATCCGCCCGTCTCGGCCTCCCAAGTGCTGGCATTACAGGCGTGAGCCACCACGCCCAGCCTTTTCTCTTTATTTCTTAAAGAGACAGGGTCTCACTCAGTTGCCCAGGATGGAGTGCAGTGGCCAGATCTTGGCTATTTGCAAACTATGCCTTCCAGACGCAAGTGATCCGCCTCTGCCTCCTGAGTAGCTGGGACTATATAGGTGACCACTCAGCTAATTTTTAAATTTTTTGTAGAGAAGAGGTCTCAGTATGTTTCCAAGGCTGGTTTTGAAGTCCTGTGTTCAAGCAGTCCTCCTGCCTTGGCCTCCCAAACTGCTAGGATTACAGGCAAGCCACCACATCTTGTCTGTCCCTGTAATTTTAAAAAGGTGTTATTCTGGAAGGTGTTACTCAGGCTGGGGACTCCCAGAGTGCTGGGATTACAGGCATGAGCCACCTCGCTGGCCTAGGATTTGCATTGTAAGGATTTGCATGGTTTTTGAGAATTGGAGGGAGTACTCAACCTACTTTTCACTGTGGAGCAATATTCACAAGTCAGTTTTTTTTGAGACAGAGTTTTGCTCTTGTTGCCCAGGCTAGAGTGCAATGGCTCGATCTCTGCTTGCTGCAACCTCTGCCTTCTGGGTTCAAGCAATTCTCCTGCCTCAGCCTCCTGAGTAGCTGGGATTACAGCTTTGAGCCACCATGCCCAGCTAATTTTGTAGTCTTTTTTTTTTTTTTTTTTTTTTTTAAGTAGAGATGGGATTTCCCCATGTTGGTCAGGCTGGTCTCGAACTCCTGACCTCAAGTGATCTGCCGATGTCCGCCTCCCAAAGTGCTGGGATTACAGGCGTGAGCCACTGACTGCACCCAGCTCAGTTTTAAAATGATCTTCTGCATAGAGGATGTGCCTGCGGTTTCCAGGTACTGGACGATGCAGGGAGAGGGCTTCTCAGTCTGTGGCACTCAGCCCTGAGGGCACTTTCTGGTGTAAGAAACGAAAGTGCCGTCAAGGCTGAGAGCCAATGACTGAGGCAAGCACCGTGGTGGGTGGTGGGGTTGGGGGGGCCCGTGGGGGGTGGCGTGCCGCAGGAGCCCCTGCAGGTGAAAACCGTAAGCCACGATGCTTGTTCTGCACTACAAACTGGACTTCACTCCAGCATCAAAGAAATGACCAGGTTCTCTGGGTTGTGAGGCTGGGTTCCGTATGGAGGGTCAACAGGGTCATACTGTTGCTGAAAAGGGGGCACCCAATCCAGACTCCAAAAGCAGGTTCTTGGATCTCTTGCTGGAAGGAATTTCAAGGCAAGTCACAGAACACAGTGAAAGAAGCAAGTTTCTGTAATCCCAGCACTTGGGAGGCTGGGGCGGGTGGATCACCTGAGGTCAGGAGTTCGAGACTAGCCTGACCAACATGGTGAAACCCCGTCTCTACTAACAGTACAAAAATTAGCCAGGCATGGGGGTGCACGACTGTAATCCCAGGTACTAAAGAAGCTGAGGCAGCTGACTCTGTCTCCCGGGTTCAAGCAGTTCTGCCTCAGCCTCCTGGGTAGCTGCAATGACAGGCGCATGTCCCCACCACAGCTGGCCCCTTAGTTTTGAAGCTGGATGTGCCATTCACGCTGAGGTCCTCAAAACTGAGGGGCATTTTCTGTGGTCTAAAAGGAAAATGCACCCCAGTTTTGTGGTTCTCAATTGTGAATACTCAACCAAACTCCGGGAGTATGAATGGATGGTGATAGTCATCCCCAGTTCCCCTTCGCCTTGTACCAGGTGGATGCACACA